AAATGGAAAAAGAACTAGGTTTATACAACGTTACATCATTCCATATCAAGATCTAAACAGATAGAGCAAAGGTAAACATAACTAGAACTAGATATATATTGTTAGTAATCTCCAGCTAGTGGTCTAATATCAATGCTGCGTTCAGATTGGTTGAGCAACGACTAGGTTATATGTTCGAACTCGAACATATAGCCTAGTCGTTGCTCAACCAATCAGAACGCAGCATTGATAATAGACCACTAGCTGGAGTTTACTAACAATATATATATAGCTCTAGTGACGTTTAACTTTGCTCTATCTGTTGAGATTTTGATATGGAATGATGTATCGTTCTATAAACCTAGGTTTTTTTCCATTTTATCCTTGGTTAAAAATATATTTTCCTTTGTTTCAAACTTATTATCATATATTACTATGCCCTAAAATAAAGAAAAATTCAACGATAACACATCACACTGTAAAATAAGCCGCATTGCATTTATTAATAACAATTCTTATCTTCCTGTTCAGGGGTTCCCGCAATTATAGATCTGACAGCATTCATTAATTTAGAAGAAATAAAAAAGTCAGAAATAGAAAAATCCGGACGATAAACAATTTTCAAACATAGCCTTTATTTATTTTATAGACGTACACCGTTGGGTTGGTTAATCGATGCATGTACTGTAAACAGAAAATCCCAAAAAGGTTTTTTTAGATCTCTCCCCAGTCCTTTCCTGACTTCTTCTTATGACAATATCATTCACGTGACTCACGTGGCCTATTGTTTGCCACGAGCTGTTGTCCAATGAGAAATAATTATTTGAGGTCACGTGTTCTATGAATGACAACAAATCGTGGAGAAAATAACACGACTGCTTCGATCAGTTCAGTCAGTGGAACGGGAGTCTCACGATTGTTGTGGAGAGTAATTTGTGTGCACGAATTGGAACTATTTTATACCGTGTAGGTGTTCCACACCGTTTATTAGCTGAATTTATTCACGACCCTTTGCGGATTAGCTTTGAACAGAAAAGAAACACGTCGTTTAAAACTCGTATGGCGGAACTTGATTCTTGTTCAACTGCGTCGTCCGCCGCGGCGGCGGACGAGAGCAGAGGACCTTGTCGTAGTATTACTGAAGGAGATGGCAATGAAGGGGATGACGAGCGAACAAGCGGACAGAGTATAGGAGAGGCAGGTGATCTTGATGTAGAATCTGTAACAGAAGAAAAACGCGCTAAAGACGGCAAAAGCGTTGTACCTGTTGTCACAGCCCCATTAGCGGATGCTAACTGGAAACCTTTGCCCATTCGGAAGAAACATCGGCGAGGTTCGAAGCGAAACAATAAGCCTAGGAAAAGATATGTACCATATGCAAAACTTTCATGGGAAGAGAAAAAGCAACGGGATGAGCGGGATACTAAGAGGGCATTTAAATTGCGAGAACAGTACACAAACGCGAAAGGACGACCTACTGCTCCGTACAACACCACTCAATTTCTCATGGCCGAACACGATTTAGCAGAGCCAGATTTGGGTACACATGCTCATATGCAGTCAGACGGCGAGGAAAGTACGCAGCTAAGGACCAGAGTTCCTTCTAATTCCTACGACGATTCAGATTTCGACGACGATTACAATGAATCTCCCGAGGACGAAATTTACGAACAACAGTTTTTTGAGAAAGACTTTACTGAGACATATGAACAAGTCCATGTCGAAAATCTGCATTCAATGAGTAAGAACGACCTTGTACGTGAATTTATGCTGCTTGAGGAACGTGTAGAAAACATGGAGTTGAAACTAAAGGAGTCAGAAGCTTTAAACAAAGTGTGTGCGAGAATTTCTGGAGACGCTACTGTAGTCAACGGGGATCGCTTGATTTCCGATCACAAACGAGACGTTCAAACTTCGAACTCCATCACGAAAGAAGATATATTGCTTCTTGAACTGAACAGGCTTCGTAAAGAAAATGAGCGCTTGCTGAAAGAGAACGAAGAAATGAAAGATCACTGTCTGAATTGTGCCGATGCTAAAGTATTTAAGTAGTCACCTTTAAATCACCACCATCGATTTAAAGTACGAGTCGGTCGCTGAGTGGTAGAAAGTGCAGGGTGCACTTACTAAAGAATCGCTGTTAGCCTGATATATCAAATGTTTCCTAGCCACGTTGTTGGAATTTAATATATTGTTAATATAGCGAGGTAGGGTTCTGTTTTTTAAAATAAAATGATGTGTGCTGTGTAGTTCTGTTTGTGTCCTTCCTGTGAAACGTGGGATCAACGTATCGTTGGTAGCTTATTCAAGTTTTGGTTCCAAATAATTCTTTGTTTACGTTCTCTCCGTGAATACCGTTTCTCTCATTCCACTGAATATATAAGGCTCGTCGCTATTAGTTTTATGTTTAATTGATCAGTCCGGAGGAAAACGTAAAAAATAGAAACTCGAAAGTAAATTGCCAGCGGGAGGGTATATAATTTTAAAGTGAAAGTACGCGATTTTCTGTCATGTGTACAAAACGGGTCCGGGGTCCGCCCAGAATTTCCGAATAGTACAAACCGCAGCACACTTTAGAGCGTGCGGTCCCGATGTCGCCTGGCAAAGTGGGCTACTTTTAGTAAATATCGGCTTTAATACTGAAAGGGAATCGAAGTTAAATAGAATGTGTGGTTCGTGGCAATATTGTACTTTTTCCATGTCTTGTCTGTGGAAAGAAATGTTTAGGACGGTGTGGACAGATTTTTCGGGCTGATGACATCTCGATTTGGTATTAAATCAGCCGTAAACTCCAAAACTCAGTGGAAAATGTCAAATTAATTTTAAATTTTTGCCCTAAACTTTGCCAGTTTGAGTGAATACGTCACAGTATATTGTAACCCAGTATCATTTTCGTGTTTTGTTTTCTGTACTTTAAAGGAAGTCGACCACCAGAATTGTACATTAAATTTTACAGCTCAAATTTCACAACAGTGTTGATTCTGGTCCTAACAGATGTTTTACCCAAGTTTAAATCACTCCTCCCGGTGTCACAATTTAGTGTCATTATTTTACCATAAGCCTGGATAAGCTGCTTTTGACATATTTAATTTCAAATTGATAGCAAGGTGTGAAAGTGACACAAAGGAAATAAATTAAGATACTCAGTCACTGTGATGTTGAATTTTTAATTGTAATAATAATAATAATGACAATATTTTAGCAGGGAGCCCACGTCACCAAAAGGTGCCCTTCAGTTAATAAATTTAAAAACTACACATAATAAAAATTAAAAACTAGATTAAAACAGAAACAGTACAAGAAAAATTAAGAACTATTTAAAAACCTTTTTAAAAACTTTTAAAATGCATGTTTGAGCTTAGATTTAAATAAGAAAATATAGAGGTGTCATGGATATCCCGACTTTAAACAGTTCCAGTCTATGATACTCTGATACATAAAACGTTGTTTGTCCCAGTTTGTTCTTACGTGGGGTAGGTGAAAATCGTCTCTGGAACATGTGTTGTAATTGTGAATTGAGTTATTTCTAACAAAATTAAAATCAATAAAACCATTCAAACAAAGAGAATCAAGAGCTTCGGACGCAGAGGATTGCAGATGGCAAAATTATCAAGCATTATCTTGGCAGCTTTGTTTTTGAAGCGTCTGCAGAGTATCATAGCCCTTTAAAAGTGATAACCCTAAGGATGTTATTGTTAGTGAGTGCGGGTGGGTCATGGCTTTAAGAAGTGTGCTGGTTATTGTTAACATCTCTGATGTCAGGTGTGGTATTTATTCAAGTACCTAAGGTTATAGTTGAATGTAAATGTGTAAATGTAAATATCATATTATCCACTCCCCTCAGGGCTTTTATGGGATAATTTACAACACTGGTTGGGGGACTTTGCCAGACTGCTTAAGGTGCAGTTTACAAGTAATGAAGGAATGAGTAATGATGCCCCCATACATGAGTGTGAAAGTGAGATAGACCACTACACCGGGCACTATGTGCCCTACTCTTTACGAAGAGTGTGTGGGTTCTTTAACATCCCACAGATTTTTATTACATGTGTGAGGGCTTGTGAGACGGGGCCTATGGTTTATCGTCCTTATCTGAGAAGACTAGAAAGTCAAACCATTTGCAGATGTTATTACAAAGGCAGCACTTTCTCCTCAGTTATTTAAAGACCCTGAGTGTTGGTCCGGGCAGGATTTGAACCTACGGCCTCCCACTCAGCCGACTGGCGCTTATCCCATTGAGCTAACCAGACTGATTGTAATCAGTGTTTTAAGGTAGTTTTTTAAACATGTTTGATGTGCTGTTTCACATCTCTTGATCTTTCTTCTTCTCTGGACCTCAGCAGTGCACAAAGAAGTAATATCCAATAACCCAGCGCTAGTGGATTTTGCCATTGGGTTAGTGAATTCTGTTCTTAATTTGCCCAAGTGACTAGGGAAATTAAATTACACAAGTACTTTCAGAAAAACAGTAAAATTCCTCATAAATTCATGTGGACTGAAAGCCGTTTTTCAAGCTCATCTGACAAAGTGAAATGTGTAAAAATAAATATCAAAACAAGACAGTATAACACTACATTTCAAGAAGTGTGATCTCCACAATCTTCAGGTAAACACAAGAAATTCAAAATACATTTTAAGTAAGGCTTCTAGGTTCCTGATGCTTTTGTTAAATTATCATAGTTTAAACTGTAGCCAATTACTTAAGCAAGTAATTCATTTATGGTGCACTTAATTACTAAATAATATTAAATAATTATATATCCTGCTTGACAAAAATGTTTTTCGAGCTAGTGAAAATGACTTTTGGGTTATTAGTACAAGCAATCTCTAAAACAGATTTTCTTTTAGCATCCTGACCTGTGGCCTGCTATGCAGGCTAAAATGGATCAATTATTGTTGTGTACGTTTGATCCTTTAAGTAGAGTATATCAATGAGGTTTGTTGTTGCCAAAATCACGGCAATATTGCACCTCTGCATTTTAGTATGCACTCGTAGGGAATCTTCCAAGGCGATGACAACAACAACAACAACAACAACAATGAAACTTACAAAATAATGATTAATGGTCAATACTTATTTTATACAACAGTTGATCTATTCATATCAGTGAGATTTTCTTTGTTAATAAGTGTTTATGATTAAAACAAAGTGGACAATTCTCAGGAAAAAATTTATTTTTAAATAGGAAAATGTTGTCAACCATGTTGCAAGACAAGTCTATGTAGTGTAGTCATTAAGAAGTGAACAACACAAAAAGCGCCCAGTTGATTACTAAAAGAACTAATATTATTGTTTCTATAATGATGTATACAAAACTTAGCACAATATTTAATACCATGATACTAGTTTGTAACAAAATATTATGAGATAGAGGTTGACTGTCTGACTGGTGATTTTGACTCATCATAAGCAGTAATATGCTGTTTTAAAAGGCTTTGAGACTTAAGAACACAGTGAATACCACAATAATGCCAAAAACTGGGCAACCTTATGTACAATTTCTTGCTGCTCACTAAGAATATTGAGTCCTATATTAATTGTTGATTGTTTAATACTGCACAAGATTAAAGCCAGGCAACTTAATGGTGCACGTGATTGGTATTGTTTCTTTACAACTCAGGGCTGTCATTACTAGCCACGAGCCACCACAGCAAAATCAGCCGACAGCTTATTAGTTTGAAAGTGAATCAAATATAACAAAATAATATTGGAGGATTTGTGGAGTAAATGACCTGCTACTTTCACAAAGAGACCAGCTACTTTAAACCTCAATGACGCCCATTGCAACTGTAAATGTATACCCCATAACAAAGGCCACGTACACACAATCCTGTTAAGCAGTAATATGCTGTTTTAAAAGGCTTTGAGACTTAAGAACACGGTGAATACCACAATAATGCCAAAAACTGGGCAACCTTATGTACAATTTCTTGCTTGCTCACTAAGAATATTGAGTCCTACATTGTTTGTTGATTGTTTAATACTGCAGAAGATTAAAGCCAGGCAACTTAATAGTGCACGTGATTGGTATTGTTTCCTTACAACTCACGGCTGTCATTACTAGCCATGAGCCACTGGAGTTAAATCAGCGGACAGCTCATTAGTTTGAAAACGAATCAAATATTCCAAATATAGGAGGATTAGTGGAGTATGTGACCCGCTACTTTCCCTATAAAGAGACCAGCTACTTTAAACCTCAAAGACACCAATTGCAACTGTAAATGTATACCCCATAGCAAAAAGGCCATGTACACACAAACCTGTTAAGCAGTAATATGCTGTTTTAAAAGGCTTTGAGACTTAAGAACACAGTGAATACCACAATAATGCCAAAAACTGGGCAACCTTATGTAAAATTTCTTGCTTGCTCACTAAGAATATTGAGTTGTATATTGATTGTTGATTGTTTAATACTGCACAAGATTAAAGTCAGGCAACTTAATGGCGCACGTGATTGATATTGTTTCTTTACAACTCAGGGCTGTCATTACTAGCCACGAGCCACTAAGAATATTGAGTCCTATATTGATTGTTGATTGTTTAATACTGCACAAGATTATAGCCTGTGTACAGACGTCCCCTCCTCTCCCGATTTTTTCCTGAGGGAGGAGGGGACGTCTGTACACAGGCTACCAGATTAAAGCCAGGCAACTTAATGGCGCACATGATTGCTCTTGTTTCCTTACAACTCAGGGCTGTCATTACTAGCCATGAACCACTGCAGCAAAATCAGCCGACAGCTTATTAGTTTGAAAATGAATCAAATATACCAAATAAAGGAGGATTTGTGGAGTATGTGACCCGCTATGTTCCCTAAGAGACCAGCTACTTTAAACCTCAATGACACCCATTGCAACTGTACATGTATACCCCGTAGCAAAGGCCACATACACAATCCTGTTGAGTTTATTTTTTAAACTTTTGTGTCTATTGATTCCTTCAACAAGTGAAGAAGCAAAATCTTTACAAGACTCATATGGATTTTGCTTTTATGAAAGCCTCCTGTTTCCTGAACTATCATAGTTAAGTCCAAGCTCTATCTCTTGCTCCCTACGTCAACAAAACATGTTCTTTGGATTCACTTGATCCAGTCATTTCTTTTCACTTCAATGTATATTTACAAACTGAGAGCCAGATTCCATAAAAATGTTACCATGAGAGCTGCCATCATTGTTAATCACTGTCTTCATCACTTTCAACAATTTGTCGACTCTTTTTCTTTTTTCTCTGGGAACCCTTATCTTCACTACTGGTTCTTTTTCTGCTTTCAAGTTTGTCATCTTCTGATTCCATACCTTCCTTTGCATTCAACAGTCTCTCCTTATCTTCCTCCTCTTCATCACTCTCCAATCCTTCAGCACCTTCACTTTCAACTTCATCTGACTCACTTCCAAATCCTGAAAACAAAATCAACAACAACTTTGTTTCAGCACGTTATTCTGTCGAGATCTTGTCTCAATCTGTCCCTGGTCAATACAAATCTATCAGTATTTCGGTCATTTCAGTCCAAGATTTTCCTGTAGCACAGAGATTGTCCTGTATAATATGGTTGAAGCTCTCCTTGTGACCACTCTCATAAGCGGCCAGCTCTAGTTACAACCACCTTTGTGAAAACCCAAACTGTGATTTCAACTTTGTAATAAAACCTCTCATAACAGAAGGCTCCTGTAAGCGACCACAGCCACTTTTGGGATTACTCAACTAGACTTTTCTTTAATTGTTTTTAAGCTCTCTTAAGCACCCACCCAGAGTCTTATTCATATAAATCAACACTTAAACTGCACACTGCACTGGTGGTTCATTGATAAAGATCTTACATACAGTGCAGTAAAAGTTAAGGGTCATTTCTGGTTCCCTAGCGACCACAAGTTAGACATGTCTTACATAGACACTCATTAAACAATTTATTTATTTGTCTTTTCTTTATGAATTGTTAATGAGTTTTTTAAGCCTTCATAAGTGACCATTCTCTGTTGTTTTACCCAGCTTTCCCTTACAAGAGCTCATTCTTGTAAGCAACAAGCTCTTGTTTTGACCACTTTTTCGAATTTCAGAGGTGGTCACTTACAAATGCTTCAACTTTACTGTAAATGTTAGGGGTCAAAATTATATTCAGGTTAAAATTTTTTAACCTAGGAAAATTCTCAATTTCCTTGGTCTCTGAGCCACAATTCATGGAGTAGCAGACAAAAGAAATTGAGAATCAACCTAGGTAAAAAAAATTAACCTGATTTTAATTTTGACCTGTAACATAACCAAAAAAAAAAGACATTTTGGCTCAATCTGATATCAACAAACCTTTGGCCAACTTTTTCTTGTATTTATTCTTTATTGCCAGCAGACTCTGCTCTAAATCTTCTCCTTCATCTTCATATCGATCAGGTTCCAGGAAGCTAGCACTAAGACCCTTTGCTTGGCTTCTTTCCCGCATTCTACGCTGCTGATTTTCACGCCGCAACTGGGTTCTCAGCCTTTCATCCTCTTTCTGTTTAATAGAAGTAAAAGACAAACTTAGTGGATAGAGCGCACATGCATACAAAGTTGGGAATTCATGATTGGGAATAACCGAATTTATGGGTTTTATGCTAAATATAGTTACAGTAATAACAAGACATACTTGATAAAATAGAGTAGTGGATTAGTAGGATTACTGGGACTTAATGTAAACATAGTGTTAATGAAATAAATAGTGAACTCTAAATTTCTAACCCACACATAAACTTATTTTGATAACTGCACTTAATAATACTACTAATAATAATAATAATAGAAATATATAAAAAATTATATATGGTGCTAAACCTATAATACATGTTCTAAAGCGCTAACAGAAGCTGACAAACACTAACACCTTATAAACAGTACACTTAAAAAGAAAGTGAGATTAAACACCACAATAACTGTATGTATGAATTGCTTCAATGGGCAAATGTCAAATGAAATGAAAAGTTCTTTACAGCCTGCTTAAACCCTGAACACTCTGGATACTCTTGATAGCTGAACTAAGAGAGTTCCACAGTGAAGGGCTAACACGAGTGAAGGCCCATTCCCAAGGGTCTTGGACTTTGTTTTAAGTGCACTTTAGAATGATCATTTTCAGTCAATGCAGCTATAAATTTCTTAAAACAAAAGAAAGAAAGTTTTTACATGAGAAATGAGATTCATCCCCACAGGATTTTTTGGATACACCAGGTTTCATTGTTTAAGGAGTCATACCAAAATGGCTGTTATGTCGTAGCGTGAAAACGATTTATACCTTTGCTATTGATTTACATTAATTAAAAAGAAGATAATAAGATGGGCCGTGCTTTAAAGAACTCTTACCTTTATTAGCTCAGTTCTCTGTGCTTCTGGGTCCATCCCTGCTGCTGAGAGCAGTTTAATCTTCTGTGCTTTTGATGCACGATCAGCAATAGACAGCGTCATTTTTCTGTGTGTCTGACTTGACGTGGAGTGAGGTCTAAAAGTGAGTTTCTCTTTGAACACCGACTGAGCTTGTAAACCAGTTCCCTGCACAAAAAACGAACAAAAGAAAATAATTATTATCTATAAACACTAACCACATCCCTCAAGGGCAAACCAACACAGTACTATCCAGAAGTTTTTTTGTTTTTTTTTTCTTTATCGACAACAAATCAACAACATTAATACACAGCAGAAAGTAAAAGAACAGAAGATTTGTTGCAAAACTTAATTCTCAACTCGATTCCTGATTTTTTCATTCCAGCGAGAATCCAGTATCAAGAAACAGTTATTGAGAATTGAGTAGTTATCATCAATAAATGGAAAATGATATTCGCAGGCATGCAGTTGTGACTAACGGTGAGGTAACTTGATTTAGTCACACCTTCACCCCAGACTATCAGTAATAATAATTAATAACATTATACAAGTTCTTCTTTTTACTAGACAAATTATTTTTGCTGTCACAGAGTATGTCATAGTATTATACAACTACAAACCTGCTGTACAAATAAGTGGTTAAAATTGCCATCAATTTTGTTTTTGTGAACGTCAAAC